AAAAGGTCTTCATACATTTTCATAGGGTCTAATTAAAATGAGGTCCACACTGTATCATAGAGCCCTTCCCTGCAATTCACCAGTGAATAAAACCACTATGGCAACTACAGCAATTGTTTCTGTGGACAAGTAATAGTTGGAAAGTATTTACTGTATGTTTAGCTATCTGAACATCAGTAGCTATTAGCCAGGATGGGCTAATATGCAACACCATGCTCCAAGTGTGCCTATCCTCTGTTTGCCAGAAGTTGAGGGTGGAGGACAGGGGATGGATCACTTGATGATTGCCTGTTCTGTTCATTCCTTCTGAAGCACCTGGCATTGGCCACTGTCAGAAGACAGGATACTGGGCTAGGTGGACCCAGTATGGCCATTCTTATGATCTAATGAAATTATACAGAGCTGCTGGAAACAGATGAGAGCCAACACAATGCAACCAGACAGCTCTCTGGGCTACCAGTAGTGCATGGACTACTTGTTAGGAACCAGGAGGTCCAGAATGCTGCAGTGAGAGACACTTGCTTTTAGGGAAGCCAGGTCATATTGGCCCCATCTAGCTTCCTACCTCCCTCCATTCAAATTTGCTCCCCTGGTTTTACAACCACCCTACCTGCTCATTCAGCTGTTCTCTCTGACCTGTACACGTACTCCTTTGCCTGCCTGCTCCACTCCTATTCCCTGCTACTCTGCAGGAGGTACATGGAGCAGTGCATGAAAGAGTAACGGTAACCCTTCAGAGTTTTTGAGTCACTTCCTCTCTGTCGTGCCTTGCTTATCTTGTTCAGTTTAGTCTGTGATTTTTCCCTAAAGCAATTTGTGATATGTATGGAGGACTCTGTTTCAAAAACAGAAATGGCAGGTGCAAGGAATGTTGGTGTACAATGAGGGGAGAAGAATAACCCCTACAGCTTTGTTCACCCAATCATTTATTTAGTTGGGTTTTTATGTATTTCAATAAATGTTCCCATTCAAAGCTCCGCATGCTCTTGTAAAAATTAAAACCAATGAAAAGCACAGGCCTGTCAATTACCCAAAATCAAATGCCATCAATTTGCTGAATATTCCTAGCTCCATAATTTTGAGCAGAAGTTTCTGCATACAGTGGAATTGCCTAACAATGGACTGTTCCATTATGACTAAGGTTGCTAGGATTACATGCTTCAGTTCCCTGCTCTCTGAAAAGAATGGAGCACAGAGAGCTGGGGAAATGGTGTACTCTTTCATGAATGCCCCTGATGAGAAACCATTCTGATGATCTTAAAATGGTGTGCTGTGTGCCGGACAAGGTATGGGAGCATTAAAGCATCCCTGGAACTGACGAGAGGATGCCTTTAGCCACTATGTTGTCACCTCTCTGGCCACTTGGAGTGTTTCAAAGGGTTGTGCAGGAACTCATGTCCTCCATCAACCAAAAGGCTGGTTAGTACAATAAGGAACCTGTGAGGAAGAGGAATAAAAGGAAACTGAGCTTGTGGGAGCAGTTTAGAAGATCACAAAGTGGTGGCAGAAGTTGCCGTTTTTGTCTAATATTAGTAGGTACTGATATAGTACTAACTACTGACGGTTGGTAAAATTATGTTAATAATTAGCATTTGTATAGCCGATGGCAGAGCCACACAATAAAACATTTTGAACTGCAGGCAGCAGGATGGGGAATGGGAAAGAAGAGCTATGAAATTATTTAACAAGTCATTCTTTCCCTGCCTCCCCCTGTGACAAAGATAGAGAACCTCTGAGCTCTCTATTCTTTGGTTGCAGATGTATGTTCCACTCAGGTGTGCATGTCCAGCACACGGAAGCCAGAGAACTTTGCCTAGTAGTATCTCTAAATGTGGTGCTTGCACCCTCCAGGCACTTAACCCCTCCCCTGACTGTTTAAGAGCAGCATTGCCCCAAACCCCCTCAATTCCTTCTCACCATCTGCTTCTTGAGTTGGAGCACTCAGTGTGGTTTTTACCTCCTGCTTTGGTTCACAGTGCAGTCCGTGGGTTTTTTTCTTTGTATTGTTAGCTTAGAAGTACCTTTACGTTTAGTTTATTAATAATAGGATTTGCCCCATGTGGTGCCCTCACTGGGATTTAAACACTGCCCATTGTGTAGGGTAGCTATCCACAGTGGCAAACCCCTGCACTCAATGTTTGTGCCTTGGGAAAGGGCATATTAAAGAAAGGTGCTCCATCTGCAAGTTGCTCAAGAGGAGAATGCAAGTGGCCAGAGACTTGCACTTGAAGCAGCAACATCTTCAGGAGCAGGTCACGAAACCTGCTTCAGCACCTCAAAGAGCATGTGAGCCAGCATGGGCTGTTCGGACAGATTCATGTTCCTCTCCCAGGTGTTCTCCTCAACAAACAGCCTGAATACTCAAGGCTGAAGACATGTGCCTCAGGAGATCCTGATAAAATTTAAAATCCTCAGGTACAGAGAATGAAGAATCTGGCACTGCAGTCTTTTGGTGAGGCAGTGGAAGGAAGAAAGCAAATGGGATCTCCTACAGCAACTGTAACACCGGTTCGGGTGCAACCAGTTTAGCAAGAGCAACCCATGTCTGATTGCAGCATCGAGATTCAGGAGAGGAGGCTGCCAGCAGAATAGGTGACCTCACTCTGGACTGAACTAAAGATCAGGATCTTGCTTTCTGTGGAACATCACAGGGGTTCTCAGGAGGCCACTCTACGGAGGGGCACGGTATTGGTGGAAGTGAGTGAAGGATCCATCACTGCTATGGGAGTGGTGCTGATCTTGGTGCCGATGGTGATCCCCAGGAGGTCACGACAGCTTTTTAAGAGCTATACTGAGAAGGTGAGGGAGAAGAGGAAGATATCCCTTCTGGCCTTAGAATCTATGAATCAATTAAGTTGCTGCATATTCTCCAGTCCTCAGCTCCAGGGAGAGTGGGTCCAGAATCACTTGACCAATCACTTCACCAGGAATTTCTCTGAAGACCAATGTGCTGAGGTCCGTCTTCACGGAATGGGGCATCTCAACTATAGGCCTGTTTGCAGCAAGAGACAACAAAAGGATGCCATCAGTTTAGCTCTTGTGTGACTCTCAGACCAGGCTCCTTAACTGATGCCTTACATTTTAAATTGGGGATCTGCGCTGATGTATGCCTTTGTCCTGATCCCGCTCATTCCTCAGGTTATTCTCAAACTGAAGCAAGATCATGCCAAACTAATTCTCATTGCTCCACCCCAGCCAAGAGAATGTTGGTTCTCCGACCTCCTTACTCGGAGTATGTCACTAGCTTTCTCCCCCCCCCACCACCACCCCAATCTCTCGTCCTCTTTAGCCTGACCTATTGCCTCAGCACCACGGTCAAATTTGGCATCCAATATTGAGCAAGTCTGCACCTCATTGTATGAGTGCTACATGGCTAGATGAGGAGGAGGAATGCTATTTAGAAGCTGTTAGAAAAGTGCTATTTAATAGTAGAAAACCTTCCACTACTAGAGCTACCTATTTTGCCAAGTGGAAGTGTTTTCGATTTGGTCACTGACCCAAGGGATCCATCCAATGTTAGCCCGCATTCAGGACACTTTGGAGCATCTGTTACACCTTCAATCCTCTGGCCTGTCTCTCAGCTCCTTGAGAGCCTACTTTTTGGCTATCTGAGCATTCCATCCTCTGATCCAAGAGAAGTTAATTTTTTCAAACTCCATGGTAGTGAGATTTCTAAGAGGAATCCTCTTTTTCCACCGGTGAAAGAAGCAGTTTCTTTGTGGGACCTTAATACCGTGCTGGCTGTCCTTATGGGTCCTCCATATGAACCCCTGGCAACTTGTTCTGTCTTTCCTGTGCTGAAAGACAGCTCTTCTTGTTGCTATCACATATGCAAGACGAGTAAGCGAGCTGTAAAGTTTAATGGCAGAACCCCCATATACTCAGTTTTTCATAGACAAAGTGGCCCTTCCTCTATTATGATGTCATATGCACTAGCTTAGGCCACACCTCTACAAAGGTTATGGACTCATTCAACTGGGGCCCAAATTACACTGATAGCATTTATCAACGATATTTTGATATTGGACATTTGAAGGGCTGCTGTCCGATCTTCCATACATACTTTTACCAAACTATGCTGCTATGGCTGCGTCTAGATCAGATGCAAACATTGGGAAGGCCATTATGTAGTCATTCTTTAAGTAGATTCCTAGCCCACCTCCTATTGATATGACTTGTAAATCACCTGAGTGGAATATGATGTCTACAACCACTCAACATACGGGTAGGTAACTTTCTTTTCTTCTTTAATTGTTGTTGTTCTTTGAGTAGTGTTACTATGGGTGCTCTACTTCAGGTGCACCTCTTGAGCCCTTGATCAGAGTTTTTTCATTAGTAGTGTCCATTTGGCCCATGCGCCAAGACTATACAAGGCTGCATGGGCAAACTGTCCTCAGTTCCTTCTCAACCTTGAGCATATCTTGGCTATTGTTCTTTTTTGTTAGTTTAGTATTAGCTTCGGATGCATCCGAAGAAGTGGGCTGTAGTTCACGGAAGCTTATGCTCTAATAAATTTGTTAGTCTCTAAGGTGCCACAGGTACTCCTGTTCTTTTCACATTTCCCAGTAGCATAACTTCTGCCTGGCCCTCAAATCCAGAGGAAGAAAGAACCAGGAGATCAAGTTGAGGCTGACGCTGATAGAGCATTCCCTTTGTCCTGCTTCAGAGTCAGGTCAGGAGACACCCTCCCATGACCGGACATCTCTCTCCAGGCAAATCTAGAGCCCCTTTGATCTTGGCTAAGGTCTCCCCTAGGAAGGGGAGGACTTTAGAGACCTCAACAATGGTGGCTCTCAAAACCAGGAGATCTGTGTCCCATCATAAGGAACCTGCTTCCAAAAGACCTTGGTTCCCTGCTAAATCGATGGTTTCAGAAGCCTCAACCTCTCAGCTCGGTACTGTAGACATGAAACTCTCTTCCGGGACTAGTGGCGCTGGAAAGTCCCAGAGCTCTAAGAACAAACGTGGCTCTGGCCAAGCTGTCAGTACTGTTTACATGCGGCAAGGAAAGTAGGGATAAGAACTCTTCTAGATGGTACCATTGAACTCAGCTCTGTCATTGGTACCTCTCCAGTTGGGGCCTCAGTACTGTGCAAACCAAATCTACAGTGCTGTCTGCTTTGATAACCACGCATGCCACTACATAAGTACCAGTCCTCCATACGATTCCACAGTAATTTAGGTACTCGAAAGACTTAGCAGTGACAGATGAACCGGAATCTCCACTGCTTGTGGGTACGGGATGCCTCTTGGTACTGAGACACCGATCCTGGAGGTATCATCCCTCTTCAGTACCTCCTGATTCAATGCCATTTTCTGCTGGGGCCCCCCATTCGAGGATACTGAGGAGGAGGGAGACCTTCTTTCGGTCTTGTCCACCTTGTGCAGGATTCCCCTATCCATCCATAGAAGAAGTCACTCTTTGACAACCACAGAGAAGACTCTTGTGGTCGTCACCATGGGTGGGACCAATCCTAGATGCCACATTCTCCCCTATGGGCCCCTGCAATGGCTATACTGGGATCCCTGGGCTGTGTACAGACAACAATTTGGCTCAAAAAGATCTATTCACTGATCGGAAACAGCGCAGACAAACAAGTCTTAATTCCTCGTCACACAAAGGACTCCATAGACTGGTGAAAAGATCAACTCACCGTTGGTGCAGGCATTCCTTTTCATCCAAATCCAACAATTACTGTGACAACAGATGCATTCCTGTTGGGATGGGGCGCTCACCTCAGTACTTGCTCAGGGCAGATGGTTGCCTCAGGAAACCAATTTCTATATCAACCTCTTGGAACTCAGGACAGTCAGGAATGCCTGCCTTCATTTTCTGCACCTCATCAAGGGCAAATCAATCAGGATCATGACAGACAATGTAGCCTGCATGTTCTATATCAACAAGCAAGTGGGAGCAAGATCCCCCTCCCTGTGCCAAAACAATAAAGCTGTGGAGTTGGTGTATAACCCATCACATCCATATTTCTGCTGTCTACCTCCATAGTACCCAGAACACATCAGACAATGCTCTGAGTAGGCCTACGAATGGGAATTGGCCTCTCAAATCCATGGTATATTCCAAATGTGGGTATTTCCAGAGGTGGATCTCTTTGCTCTCTTCAGGAACAAGAACTGTCATCTGCTCTGCTGAAGGGTCTATGCCATCAGTCTCTAGGAGATGCCTTTCTACTATCTTGGATGAAGGATCCATTCTATGCATTCCCCCTAATACTGAGGGTGATGAACAAGATAAGACAGGACAAGGCCAGGGTAATCCTTTATAGTCCTGACTTGACTGAGACAGGCTTAGTATCCTTGCCTGCTTCATCGGTCTATCTACCTGGCAATCAAACGTCCGATCAGTCACTATCTCTTCTCCCAAGATGTAGGTCATTTACAGCAACCCAAGCTAAGGGTCCTCCGCATCAGGGCATGGTTCCTTGATGGTTCATGGGGTTAGAGCCTACCTGTTCTGTGGAAGTACAAGTGGTGTTCTTCAAGTGCTTGCTCATATCTATTCCAGGTAGGGGTGGGTGTGTGTGTGCGCGGCGCGTGCACGATGTCAGAACTTTTTTCCCTAGCAGCTACCAGTCGGGCTGGCTGTGGAGCCCCCTGGAGTGGTGCCGATATGGTGCTCTATATATGACTCTGCCGGCCCGACCCCCCCCCTTCAGTTCCTTCTTACCGCCAGTGATGGTTGTTGGAACAGTGGTCTCTTGCTCACAAGTGCGCCACTTCTCCCCAGCTACTCTACTTATCTCTGTGTATAGTTACCCTATTGTTAGTTATCTTTAGTGTTAAGTATAGTGTTAAGTATAGTTATCGCTTCCGACTTTGCAGTTCCTGTGGTAAGCCCATGCCCACGGGTGACCCCCCACAACTCCTGCCTTCAGTGTATGGGAGAGGCTCATCAAGTGGATAAGTGCAGGATTTGCAAAGCATTTAAACCTCACACTAGAAAGGAAAGAGACATTAGACTTAAACAACTCCTCATGGAGTCTGCCCTTCGTCCGTCTCAAGACCCAGCCCCAAGCGCCTCGGTGCAGAGTGCCCAACTGGCGGTGCAGACTACAGCTCCGGAAAAGGACTCGGCACGCCCTTCTAGGGCCCAGCGATCTCCCGGGGCCCAAAAGCATTCTCCTCGGCATGCTCTCTCTCCCCGGCCACCCATAAGAAGCAGGTCACGGAGAAGCCTCTACAAAAGCCCGAGGTGGCAGTCACACCCCCGGCAGGGCATGGTGCGGACCGGGGACATAAGGCCGACTCGCTTTCATCCCGCACGAGCCCCTGCCCCCCAAGGGAGCCCCACACGGCCGTACTCCTCTCCGTTGCAGGTGGAGGAGGTCACGCTGCCCTCCACACCTGACACCTTTGAGGCCACCAGAGGCTTCATTGAGATGACGGCGCCCAAGTCCCCAGTCTCGAGGCCTACACCAGCTGAAGCCCCAGCACCGTCAAGGGGCAATCCAGTGTTTTTTTGGGCTGTCTGCCCCCAGACCAGCACCACTGTGCTGCTCTCAGTCCCAGCACCGCACCCATGCTCCGCGTCAGTCTGACTTGCAGCAATGGTCCAACTCGTGAAACTGGTCTTGCAGCCCCGATCCTCAGAGCCATTCCTGCTCGCGGTGGTCATCGGCTGGCAGGTCGTGGTCCCGCTCTGTCGCACCACCGCTCACCAACTCGGCACCGTTCTCCAACACAGCACCATTCATGGTCACATTCCCGTGGCCTATCTCCACGGAGGCGAGGACCAGCCTCTCGGCGCTGGTCGACCTCCCGGTACCGATCCCCACAACAGCACCGCCAGTCACTATCTGGATACCGCCAACCCATAGAGCACCATCCTGCTCTTTGGGGGACATGGAAATTCCTCTGGCACAGAGCACCGCCCCTCCTTGGTCGTCCCGCTCCCAGTGACCCTCTCTCAGGTCAGGTGGGGCATCGGAGGTACCCCAATGCGACCCAGTGGCAGGGACGGGACACCTCAGTGCCCCACTGGCAGCCCCAGTGGCAGTTCTGGACCCCCTGGACGTATCACCAAGCCCAAGGCGCTCCTCCAGGCGCCCCTCCACATTCACATTCTGGGTCACGTTTTCCCGAGGCAACCATGTGCACATCTACCCGTACCTAGACTGGCTCATATGAGGTCGATCTCGCCAGCAGCTAGAATCGCAAGTACAATTGGTCAGAGACACGTTCGACCGCTTGGGCATTATTCTGAACGTCAACAAGTCTGTTCTCACCCCAACACGAACAATAGAGTTCATTGGAGCTGTCCTGGATGCAAACCGGGCGAGGGCGTTCCTCCCAGAGGCCTGTCGCCTAGCTCTCGTGCAGGTAATCACCGGTCTTTGCAACTTTCCCACCACCAGCGTGAGACAGTGCCTCAAGCTGCTGGGTCACGTGGTGTCCTGCACCTATGTGGTGCAACATGCCAGGCTGCGGCTCAGGCCCCTGCAGCGTGGCTCACATCTACGTATCGCCCCAGCTGCGACTGTCTGGATATGGTGCTGACCATTCTGGGACATAGCCTCAATTCCCTTCGCTGGTGGCTGGACCCCCACTCGGTAAGCGCCCGGGTACCATTCCATCCTCCCCAGCCCACTTTCACATTGGTGACGGATGCGTCAGCGCTCGGTTGTGGAGCGCATCTCGGGAGCATGACGACTCAAGGCCTGTGGCATGTAGAGGAGATGGCCCTGCATATCAACATCAAGGAGCTCAGGGCAATCCGCCTTGCGTGCCAAACGTTCCTGTCATGCTTGCAGGGCTACTGTGTAGCAGTGCTGACGGATAATACCACGGCCATGTTTTATATAAACAAGCAAGGCGGAGCTTGGTTCTCTCCTCTCTGCCAGGAAGCCCTCCGACTATGGGAATTTTGTCTAGCCCACTACCTCCTTCTCCAAGCCTTATACCTTCCGGGCGTTCAGAACTTACTGGCAGATGGTTCCTCACTCACGAATGGTCGATTTGGCCAGATGTCATCCACTCCATCTTCCACAGCTGGGGGTTTCCCTGAATCGACCTGTTCGCCACGCGGGCCAACAGGAAGTGCCCAACCTTTTGCTCTTTCCGGGGTCACAGTCATGGCTCGATTGCGGACACCTTCCTGATTTCATGGTCCGGTCAACTACTGCATGCCTTCCCGCCATTTCCTCTCATCCACAAAGTGCTTCTCAAGGTCTGCAGGGAGAAGGCGGATGTCATCGTGGTGGCTCAACCTTGGCCTTGCCAGTGCTGGTACCCCACGCTCATGGACCTGTCGATTCGGTCCCTGATCCGCCTACCTCTCACTCCCGATCTCATCTCCCAGAATCATGGCCACCTTCTCCACCCGGACCTACAGTCACTTCACCTTACGGCCTGGAGGATCTGTGATTAAACCAAGCAGAGCTCAACTGTTCAGACCCAGTCAGGCGAGTGCTCCTGGAGAGCCATAAACCTTCTACCAGGACTGCTTACAAAGCAAAGTGGAAGAGGTTTTCTATCTGGTGTGCCTGCAAGAGGTGCTCCCACTCCAGCCTTCTATCCCATGCATCCTGGACTACCTGGTGCACCTGAAAGATCAGCGCCTGGCATTCAGTTCTCTTAAAGTCCACCTCACGGCTATTTCAGCCTTTCACCCGGGTGTTTCCGGGTGGTCAGTGTTTGCACACCCTATCGTGAGTTGTTTCCTAAAGAGGCTGGAAAAGATCCATCATCTGACATGTCAGCCCCTGTATACCATCTTTCATAAGGATAAGGGTGCAGCTCAGGCCTCATCCGGCCTTCCTACCGAAAGTCGTCTCCCGCTTCCACATCAGCCAGGATATTTTCCTACCGGTCTTCTATCCAAAGCCGCACACCACCCTCCGGGAGCAGCGGTTGCATTCGCTGGACATTAGAAGGGTGCTCGCCTTCTACATAGACCGAACGAAGCCATTCTGCAAAACAACCCAACTATTTGTCGCCTTAGTGGAATGGATGAAAGGTTCGCCAGTCTCCTCCCAGCGGATATCCTCCTGGATCACGGCATGTATTCGTGCTTGCTACGACTTAGCGAAGGTCCTCCCACCTGCTGTCACAGCGCATTCCACGAAGGCTCAGGCCTCATCAGCAGCCTTCCTGGCACACCTACCCCTCCAGGACACCTGCAGGGCTGCCGCATGGAGTTTGGTGCACACCTTCATGTCGCACTATGCCATCGTTTACCAATCACGTGATGATGCTGCCTTCAGGCGATTCTCCAGTCTGCAATACCTTGACTCCGACCCCACCTCCGAGGTAAGGCTTGGGAGTCACCTAACTGGAATTGATATGAGCAAGCACTCGAAGAAGAAAAAACAGTTACTCCCCTATTTGTAACTGTTCTTCGAGATGTGTTGCTCATATCTATTTTATTCCCCCACGTACACACACCTTCCCCTCTGTCGGAGTAGCCGGCAAGAAGGAACTGAAGGGTGGTCAAGCCGGCAGGGTCATATATATAGAGCACTATATCTACGCCACTCCGGGGGCTCCACAGTTGGCCTGACAGGTAGCTGCTAGGGAAAAATGTTCCAACATCCATGCACACGGCGTGCGCATACCCTACCTGGAATAGATATGAGCAACATATCTCAACCAACAACAGTTACAAAAAGGTGAGTAACCGTTTTTTACTGAACAGTAGAAAGAAGTCAACCCGAATCACTTGCTTGCAGAAGTGGAAGAGATTCAGGTTTTGGTGTCCGCTCTAGCAGCTTGTATCCGAATCCTTCTCTCAGCTATCCTAGATTACCTGTTAGACTTAAAGAAGTCAGGGTTATCAGTTAACTTGATCACGGTTCACTTGGCCACAATATAAATTTTCATCCTTCAGTAGAAGCGTTTTTGATATTTGCTCATCTTATGTCTTGAGATTTATTAAAGGTTTGAGGAATCTCCCAAGTAAGGGACCCCACCTCAACATGGGCTCTAAATTTCGTGCTTAGATGTCTTACAAGACCTCCATGTGAACCAATGGCAACATGTTCTTTGCTTCACTTATCGATGAAGATGGCCTTTTTAGTGGCTATCCCATTGACCTGTAGAGTGGGAGAAATTGGGGCCTCCTGAGAAATAGCTGGAACCCCCACCCCCCCTTTACAATGTTTTTCAAATATAAGGTTTCTTTAAAGTGCAGCCTAGATCCTTACCTAAGATGATATCTGCCTTTCATCTTAAGCAGCCCATTCATAAGAATGGCCATACTGGGTCAGACCAAAGGTCCATCTAGCCCAGTATCCTGTCTTCCTACAGTGGCCAATGCCAGGTGCCCCAGAGGGAATGAACGGAACAGGTAATCACCAAGTGATCCATCCCCTGTCGCCCATTCCTGGCTTCTGGCGAACAGAGGTGAGGGACACCAACCCTGTCCATCCTGGCTAATAGCCATTGGTGGACCTATCCTCCATGAATTTATCTAGTTCTTTTTTGAACTCTGTTATAGTCTTGGCCTTCACAACATCCTCTGGCAAAGAGTTCCACAGGTTGACTGTGTGTTGTGAGAAGAAATACTTCCTTTTGTTTGTTTTAAACCTGCTGCCTGTTCATTTCATTTGGTGACCCATAGTTCTTCTGTTATGAGGAGTAAATAACACTTCCTTATCTACTTTCTCCACACCAGTCATGATTTTATAGAGCTCCTATCATATGCCCCCTTAGTCATCTCTTCCATGCTGAAAAGTCCGAGGCTTTTTAATCTCTCCTCATAGGGCAGCCGTTCCATACCCCTAATCCTTTTTGTTGTCCTTTTCTGAACCTTTTCCAATTCCAATATATCTTTTTGGGGATGGGGTGACCACATCTGCACACAGTATTCAAGATATGGGCGTACCATGGATTTATATAGAGGCAATATGATATTTTCTGTCTTATTATCTATCCCTTTCTTGATGATTCCCAGCATTCTGAGAGCTTTTTTGACTGCCGCTGCACATTGAGTGGATGTTTTCAGAGAACTAGCCACAATGACTCCCAAGATCTCTTTCTTGAGTGGTAACAGCCAATTTAGACCCCATCATTAAATGTATAGTTGGGATTGTTTTTCAATGTGCATTACTTTGTATTTATCAACACTGAATTTCATCTGCCATTTTGTTGCCAGTCACCCAGTTTTGTGAGATCCTCTTGTAGCTCTTTGCCGTCTGCCTGGGACTTAACTATCTTGAACAATTTTGTATCATCTGCAAATTTTGCCATCACAAACATACACACACTACAGACAACAAACTTACCCCAAGGGTCCTCCTTTACCTGGCGAACTCCCTCACGAAACTCCTGTTAGCCGCTCCTGTTCGCTAGCTCCTCTGGTTGCTTAGGAGCGAGCTTTTTAAAGCTGTCCTCTATCGCCTCGGCATCAGAGTCTCAACTCTTGATATTTGGTGCAAAGGAACTGAGGTGGGTCGGAGCAGCATTGCCCTAGGGACCAGAGGATGCAAATGTCATCCCTGTGGGTACTGATAGGTAAAGTTTTCCGTCTTTGGCCACACGCACACCTGAGTGGAATATGCACCTGCCTCCACATAAAGAATAGTCACCATACAGTCTTTTCTTAAGCTCCAATTTGCATGTGCAAATTAAACGTTTGTGTTCATTTGCTTTTGATTAACACCCAGAACCACAGGATTGCTCTGGATCACTGTACAAGAAGAACTTTCATCAGCTGCTTAGAGTCCTTTCTTCCTTAGTGCTTATTTAGGCTGGGAAACTATTCTGCTATAGCTGCCAGTCAATTTCCCTGTGTAGACAAGCTCTTAATGCACCTGTACACCTCATTTTTGCTTCAGTGCTAATTCTTTATTACACTGTAGTATATTGTTATGCTGGGAGGCTTTAATGGTTGCCTGAAGTGGATCTTTGAGCTATAAAATCACAGACCTAGTTATAGCCAATGGGTGTGCTAAACACCGTTCTTTCAGGGTAAATGGAAGGAGTAATGAAATTCCTCTTGATGTAATGATAGCTAGAAACAATAGGAAATTCCTGCTGAAGGCACTGGGCCACATGACAAAGCCTGAGCAGAGCTAAGTTGTGTGATCTGGGTGTTTTCCTGGACTGTAGGCAAATGCAGGGGCTAGTGGTTTGTTTGGCAAACTGTGTGCCTGTGAGAGGCAGAAAGCCAGCAGACAGTGAGAGGAGCAGTCGTAAATATGGGCCTGTTGGAGTGAAGACAGAGCTCCAGAATTGATTGGAGCAGCAGACTAGGAAATAGGGAATTGCCAATTGTTTGTTTCTGTTGTCTTCAGGAAGACAGGATTGTGTGTATGTTCTTTGCAAATAAACAGGATTGTACCAAAGAAAATACCTGACTCATATCACCAGTTTCTCCTATTGGAAACAGCTCTGCAAGGCCTTGAATGCTGGCTAATCTCTCAGGCCAAAGGGGACATAACTGGTTTCAGGAGTGGAATAACAGTGTCAAAGGAGAGAAATTATGAGCTGGTACTCCTGTTGAACCAAAATGGAACAAATGGTGGAGATGCTTGCAGAAATCAAAGATGACCAAAAGAGCTTCAAATAAGGACTTCACAGAAGGAATCTAAACAACAGCTGAAGGCTTCCCAGAAAGGACTTAGACCACCAGTGGTCAGAGATAAAATCTTTGTTGGGACAGCAGCCAGAAAGTGTTCAGACAGATTTGGAAGTCATACTACAAAATTTCCAGTGCGGACAGGCAAGATGGACTGATGAGGTGACCAACAAACTGACTATCATGGATCAAAAGATGTTCCACGTAATAGGGGAGACCAAGAAATATCTGCTCAACTTTGTGCTTGTAAATAGAGACAGCTGCAACAAGGACTTTAGGGAGCTAAAAAATCACCCGGAGAAGGAGCTCAAAGGGTTGCATACTAAGTCTGGATTAGGAATTGGGCCAGACTGAGAATTTGGGTCAAACAGGATATTTACAACCGTTTTATACCCTTTTTCTAACCCAGAGAGGTTAGATTGTTCAAGCTCAGGTAATACAAAAGCCATTGGGGGCGGGGACAACAAGGATACGGTACAAGCTCTTGATATGTAGCTAAAATCTAGCTATCAATCTGAGCTGACCAAGGCATAGCTAAGGGCTAGAAGAAGAGGGAAAGAACAGACCCCACCTCAACTGGAATAGGACATGAAGAGCTGTGCCTGGTATATCCAGATAACAATGAGGACTAAGATTTCAAAGCTAAATTAACAGTGGACCAAATTACAGATTTGCAGCTTGGCTTAGATTTTCAGCTCAAGAGCATTGAAAGGAGGCCAAGAATGCTTTCTGTGGCTGAGGAATTTGCCACCGAACTTCAATCTTTCCTTGTAGGAGCCCACCAGAAAAGGAAGCAACTGCTAGTGAGGAAGATGGAAACTGATCACCGTGAGCCCTGTAAGTATAGGTCTGGGTCTAATATGCCTGATGGACAAGGGGATTCTAATCTGGTTTATGACCGTTTTGAATGGTTGGGAAAAAAATTAAATTTGGTTTGTAAAGCAAGGTAGGTTGGCAATAATCCAAACATTTGAGAAGCAGTTCAGTTCATTGCTGGTACGGTGAAAAAATTGGCCATAGAAGGATTATTAAAGGCAAGCCAGAACGGAGCATAACAAGTATCTATTGAAAGTCTCTCACCCACTTTGGGAAACAGGAGGGACATCAACTTGGTGGGGGAGGGTAAACTTGGAGGTACAAGGATCAGCCCCACAGATTTTGTTAGGATCAGGAAAATTAAACAACAATGACAATTTGGCTATTGGATGTGCACAGGAACAGATGACACTGGCACAAACATAAGTTAGTAGACCAGGCATGCTGCTGGAGGGAGGGATAGCTCAGTGGTTTGAGCATTGGCCTGCTAAACCCAGGGTAGTGAGTTCAATCCTTGAGAGGGCCACTTATGGGATCTGGGGCAAAATCAGTACTAGGTCCTGCTAGTGAAGGCAGGGGGCTGGACTCAATGACCTTTCAAGGTCCTGTTCAGTTCTAGGAGATAGGATATCTCCATTAATTTAAAATTTAAATAAAAATTCACTACTAGGGTAATAGGGGTCCCAAAACTGAACCACCTAACTGATGTCAAATAGAGGCAGTTACTGGAGAAAGTGCACCTATCCAAATATGGGGAAAATTGGGCATGAAAATTGGACCTCTGATATTTGAGGTCTGGATTGCAGGGATAGCAGATGTTAATCATTGGTGTGGGTTTCATTATGGCTAATAACTGCATAATATCAGGAAAGGTGTCTTAAGAAATGTCCACACATTGGATTTTAAGATGTGACCTAGGTGAAACCAATGATTTGTAGGTAATTGATTTGCAGTGAACAAGAGTCCTACTTCCAGAGGTAATAGCCGTAGTAACAGCTACATACTGTGGTAGTTTTCCAGCAAGGAAAAGATGGGGAGTTGTTGAGACCTGCTTTGAGACTCGGTCTCAGGAGGAATTTTAACTGCAAAGGTTTTTGTAGATCAGAGGGAGGAACAGATTCCTGTTCATTTGCTGAATGTTTCTGATAAACAGTAAATACAAAAGAAGGGAACCACATCTGCAAAATGTGAACCACTAAAATTAGTAAATGCCTGGTATAGAAGAAAACTAAAAGAGAGAAAGGGGTGAAGGTGAGCCCCAGAGTTTTCTATTGGAGTTCTGGGTAATCCACTTTGGCACACAATCAACGAAGAGGGAACTTTCACTGACAAAAATGAAATTGAGGTTGTGTACAACAAGTCAGTTCCTGAGACGCCCACAAATAAGCATGGTTTTGTAGGGCTCTGCTTCTATTATAGAAGGTTTATTTGTGGGTTTGTCAATATTGTAAAACCATTGCATAGGTTGGGTGAGGAAGGGAAACCATCTGTGGTCAACAGCAGAGCGACTTCGCATTTTCAGAGTTGAAAGAGGGCTCTCGTGTCTGCTCCTGTCTTAGCCTACCTGTTTCAGATTGTTTGTTTCAAATCTTTCATATTGGACACAGGTGCTAGTGCCTACAGATTGGGAGTGGTGTTACTACCTATGTTATCAGAGAGGCAGAATCTTAGCTTGGCTCTTCTCAGAAACTGAGGGTGTAGCTGCGGAAGCTGAGGCTGGAAGAGCTCTGACAGTAATGAATTCCCCATTAGAACAGAATGAGCGAAGTCTGCTCCAACTCCACAGAAACAATGGATACTTGGCAGGAGTCCATTGAATATGGCCTTTCCTGGTTGGCTGAAAGGAGATTGGGTAGTGAGTGGAAAGGTCCATGGAAATCTGTACTTTGACAGTGAACCATTGATCACTACTCTAACTTGGAAGGATGTATCTAGTGGTGTTCCACAGGGGTCTGTCCTGGGTCTGGCACTGTTCAGTATTTTCATTAATATCTTGGATACTGGAGTGGAGCATATGCTTATAACAATTGTGAATGACACCAGGATCAGAATTCCAAACAACACTGACAAATTGGAGAATAGGTCTGAAATCAACAAGACGAAATGTAGTAAAGACAAGTATGAAGCTCTTCACTTAGGAAGAAAAAATATCAAATGCACAACTACAAAATGGGGAATAACTGGCTAGGCAGTAATACTGCTCAAAAAGATCGGGGGGTTATAATGGATCACAAATTGAATGTGAGTCAACAGTGTGATGCACTTGCAAAAAATGCTAATATTCTGGTGTGTATTAATAGGAGTGTTGTTGATGTCAGACTTGGGGAGGGAGGGAATCTGATAAGTCTTCAAATATCTTATGGGAGGTTATAAAGAGAATGGTGATCAGTTGTTCGTGGTTGTCCACCGAAGGTAGGGCCAGAGGTAGTCTGCAGCAAGGGAGATTTAGGTTAGATATGAGGAAAAACTTTCTAACTATACGGATAGTTAAACACTGGAATAGGCTTCAAAGGGAGGTTGTGGAATCCCCATCTCTGGAGGTTGAACAAACACCTGGCTCTGATGGTCTAGGTTTACTTAGTCCTGCCGCAGTGCGGGGGCTGGACTAGATGACCTCTTGAGGTCCCTTCCAGCCCTACATTTCTGAGAGTCTATGATTAAACACTATCCACTCTGTTCTGTGTGAAACATCAAAGGGATAAGAAATACCGACTCAGGGCAATAGCAGCAAAATGTGTTACCCTTTGGTGTAATATTTCATGGCCATTCCCCTTCAGGTCAGTTAATACTTGTACAACATACACTCAATAATAGCTTTACACCCAGATGCTGCAGAGGCTTGCACGCATGCATAGCTTTACACACTACAAGTAGTCCCATTGAAGTCAGTGACACCAGTACTCATCTACATAAAGTTACACGTATATGCAAATGTTTGCAGGATCAGGGCCTTATTTTGTTTAAGTATCCTTCATAAGAATTGTAACCCAAACAAGCTTTACAGAGGTAAATACCACTGAGAGGCTCAAACATCTTCTCTTTTCTCTACCGTCTCCCTTTTTGAAGGATGATGATTAGTATTTATAAAATGCAGAGATCTAAACAAGAACAGGAAAATATAGTTCTTAACAAGCAATCTGTCCAAGAGAGAGACTGCTTCGTTGACTGCTAAGAAAAATATCTCACTCTCAATAATGGTGGTAATGGAAAATGTATTAAAATCCTCCAAAATCTGATAAGTAACTAATGGGATTGGGGTGGGGATTAGAAATTCTGAATGCAACTGCATGTATCAACAAAGGTATCAGTTATGCAATTAAAGTTCAGTGCACTTAAGTTCATTGAAGCATGATTTTGCTATTTTAGTATATAACATTTCATTCATTTAAAAATAAAGACCATTGAGAGAGAAGCATTCATTAACATACAATATAGTGACTGGCTACATACGCTTATGTACAGCAGATCAGCTTAATATTTCCTTAATACCACCTGTGGGGGAAATCTGCCCTGTCATTACAGGAGGAGTGGACTTTGTTTTTATCTATTATCTAACAGCGTTGTAGGCGTCTGTGGCACTTTGCACACAAATAAAAGATGCTGTCCTTCCCTAGAGGAGTTTACAATCTAGGTTAAACAACATGACATGACAAAGGGAGGGGGAAAAGCAGGAAACAGGAGATGCCCACAAAGTCTAATGTTATGAGGTTTCTTGTTTTCACGTTTTATTTCCATGTTTTGTTAGATTTTTTTAAATTTTCTTTTTATTAAGTTGGTAAACTGGGATCTAGTGGATCTGTTCCATCCTTGATACAATAATCCTGCAGTGCACACTGAATCATGTATTTTATTAATTTAATATACTTTTTTTTTGTCTTTATTGCTGGTGTTCACAAGAAATGCTCAGACTATTACGCAGTATGATATTTGATTATTCTGAGGTTATGGAAGGTTAGTTCTTGAAAACAATAAAAAAGGCAGGGGGTAAATATATGCTCTTTCCTACTTAATGCTGGAGGTTTCTAGTGTATGGTTTCTAGGATCCCACCAGGTATATTACTTGGCAATTGTAGTTTATGAAGGTCTATATTTATACTCTGCTGTATTAGCTTGGGAACTACTCTTTAGGAAAGAAGAGAGCAGAAGGAGTGGGTAAACTTAAATTATAGGGGGTTTGGAAACACCCTTCAGATTAAGGTTGCCTGACATTTTCCTTACATTATAAAAACTACTGCTGGGCTGGTGGTCTGGAGAGCTGCATCACATGAAAATCATAGAAATATGGGGCTGGAAGGAACTTTGAGAGGTCATCTAGTCCAGCCCTCTGCGCTGAGGTAGAACCAAGTAAGCCTAGACCATCCCTGACAGGTGTTTGTCTAACTTGTTTTCAAAAATTTCCAACAGACATTCCACAACCTCCTTGGAAGCATATTCCACTGCTTAACTATCCTTGTAATTTGGAAGTCTTTCCTAATGTCTAACCTAAATCTCTCTTGCTGCAGATTAAGCCCATTACTTCTTGTCCTATGTTCAGTGGACGTGGAGAATAATTGATCACTGTCCTCTTTATAACAGCTCTTAAACTACTTGAAGACTGTTATCAGGTTCCCCTGCAGTATTCTTTTTTTGAGGCTAAACATGCCCAGTTTATTTTAACCTTTTCCTCTGAGGAGGTTTTCTAAACCTTTGATCATGTTTGTTGCTGTCCTCTAGATTCTCATGGAGCACTCCAGTGAAGCCTCAGCAGTGCCAAGTTAGGACAGTGCCAAGGCCAGTTACCGCCTGTGTCTTACATCTGTTAATCCATCCCAGAATATTAACTTTTGCAACTTCATCATACTGTTGACTCTCATTCAATTTATGGTCCACTGTAACCACCTGATCCAGTTTTTCCCCATTTTGTAGTTGTGTATGTGATTTTTTTTTCTTCCCAAGTGTAGTAGTTTGTGCTTGTCTTTACAAATTAGAGAATTGGTTTGAAATTAACAAGATTAAATTCAGTAAAGGTTGTTTTGACCTCTAATCCTGTCCTCTAACATGCTAGCAACCCCTCCCAGTTTAGTATCATTCATAAATGTTGTAAGCACACTCTTCATTCCATTAGACAAGCTATTAATGAAAATATTGACCAGTGCCAGACCCCTGTAGAACTCCACTCTAGATATATCCCTCCCATTTGACAGCAAACTTGAGCCACTACTCTTTAAGGATGGTCTTTCAACCTTTTAGGCACCCACCTTATAGTACTGTCAGCTAGACCACATTGCCTTAGTTTGCTTATAAAAATATCATGTGGAACTATATCAAAAGCTTTACTAAAATAAAGATCTATTATGATTCTAGCTTCCACCCATCTGCTAGTCACCCTGCCGAAGAAGGAAATAAGGTTATTTGTCATAATTGGTCCTTGCCAAATCCATGTTGACTATTCCTTATAACCCTAGTATCATCTAAGGGCTTTCAAACTGCTTGTTTATAATTTGTTCCAGTATCTTTCCTGATATTGAAGTCAGGCTGACTGGTCTATAATTCCCCTGAGCCTCTGTCCCCGTTTTTAAAGATAGGTATTACATCTGCCCTTTCCCGGTTTTCTGGGACCTTTCCTATCTTCCATGAATTCTTACCGATAATGGCTAACGGTTCCAAAATTGCTTCAGCTAGTTCCTTAAGTACCCTACAGTTAACTTCATCAGGCACTGCCAACTTGAATACAGCTAGGGTGATCAGACAGCAAGTGTGAAAAATCGGGATGGGGGTGGGGGGTAATAGGTGCCTATAGAAGAAAAAACCCAAATCGTGGGACTGTCCTTATAAAATAGGGCCATCTAGTCACCTTAAATACATCCACCTTATCTACACAGTCGCTCACCTGTTCTTTCCCTAGGGTGGTTTGTGTCCCTTCCCCTTTGTTAATACTGTAGTGAATACGTGGTCCCAGTTTCCTTTTTTAGTGAAGACTGAAGGAAAACAGCCCTGAAACATCTCACCTTACTTGATGTCCAAGGAGCTCTCCTCGGCCAGCAAGGGAGTTTCCTTTGTCTGTCTGTTGCTGCAAACCTATTTACAAAGCCACCTCTTACTGCCTTGTCTGTCCCTTGCTAGGGGGGACTCAGTAGGTCATTGCCTGGGCCTCAGGGCAGCCTCGCGAGCGTGAAAAGCGAGTCTTGTGGGGGGGGGGGGCTGTCAGGAGTAAGGGGGGCCCGGTCTGGCTCGCTCCAGCGCACGGGGCGGGGCGGGATCAGCGCTCGGCCCGCTCCCAGCCGCGCTCCCTGCGCCTCCTCCCTCGCAACGTGCTTCCCGCTGCCCCGCCCGCCCCGGCCCCGGCGGCGGCAGGCGGAGCTGGTTGGCTGGCGAGCGCGGCGGTCCCTCCCCGGGCCACATGGGCTGGGAGTCCGGGCCGCCGCGCATGCGCCCGGCTCGCCCCTGACCTATTGTTGGGCTGGGGCTGACGTCCTGGGCCTCTGGGAGGAGCCGGGAGGGGGGGCGCAGTGGGGGGAGGCGGGGGGCGCTGCTCGCGGCAGCCCCTTCTAGCCCTGCGGCTGCCGCTGGATGCAGGCGGCCGGCCGGCGAGCAGACAAAGGAGGCGGAGGGAGGCGCGGCGGCGAGGGAGAAGCAGGAGCGGGAGGGAGAGAGGCTCCAAGTGCAGGCGGAGCTGTCAGCCCCGGGAGAAGGGGACCGGCCAGCAGCGGGTCCCGGCTCGCCTCGGCTCGCCAGCATGCCCAGCTCCATCTACCAGCCTGACGGGGGGGAGGCAGCCTGCTGCCCCCCTCACTGCCTGGGGCTGCTGAGCGCCCCCCCGCCGCCCCCAGCCGCTGGGGCTGGGCAGCAGGGGCACGGCGAGCAGCCGCTGCCGGAGTCCGAGCCGGAGCGAGGAGGGCAGCAGCCCCCGGCCGATCAGGAAGAAGCGGCAGCAGCGCTGAGGTTTGCCCTGGACCAGCTCTCCATCTTGGGGTTGGAGGAGGAGGAGGCAGAAGAAAGGGTGATTGAAGAAGGTGGAGTGGAGGAGGAGGTGCTGGAGATTGGGGATGGAGGGCTGGAGGAAATGGACCATGGCTCAGGGCTGGACAGGGGAGTTGGGATGCTGGGGGGGCTGCCAATGTTGGATCCAGATGTGAGCCCCTCCACCTCCAGCACCACTTCCCCTCCAGATGTGTTCAGCAACTTTCACCCCCACCTGGGCCACCACCACTCCATCTTGGCTGAACAGATGAGCATCATTGGAAGCAGAAAGAAGAGCGTGAACATGACTGAGTGTGTCCCTGTCCCCAGCTCTGAACATGTAGCAGAGATTGTGGGGAGACAAGGTAAACTTCAGCGGCCTTTTTTCCTTTTGTTTTACCCATTGTCTGTGTGTCTTCCCTTGTACCCCTTCAATTCCCCCACTCTATTGTAGGCAGCTTTTCAGTTTTGATACCTTCAGGTAACACACTATCTAAAATGGAGAAAGGAGGAGATGCAAGTCCATGAGTCTGGTTAATAAGCCAAAATATCTCTATATATGTCACTTAAAATATTCCCTCTATATGTACTGAGAGATTTTAATAGATCCTATATATGTAATTCGTGTCTGAATAACTTGACTTGGGAACCAGAGGACACTGGTAGATTTGGAGAGAAATGGAGATTCCTGTAGCTTAAATACTCCTGGGCCACTGCTCTGTACCAGTATCTAGTTAGAAAGGTGTTTGCTTGTCTTTTGGAGAGCCATGGCATGCACAGAAATGTGTGTTCTATGTTTTTTTGTGTGTCCCCCCCCAGACAGCAATCAGAAAGTATGAGATGCACTGGCCCATCCCAGTTTTTATTTGGGTCAGTTTTAGTCTTTGTTTCTTTGTGCTGAGGAGTGTGGAGTGGAAACTTGTTAGAAATAAAACCCCTTCCAACTCTTTATGTGGAGACACTTTTAATTCTATTGATTTTATGAACAAGCCCTCTCTCTGTGTGCCATTTTAAAATGACTCCACATTTGTAAATATTTTACTAGAGTTTGCTGTTGTCTAAACTATATAGGCCTGCTACACACTGTGTATATTACATATATACACACCCACAAAGTTCTCATGTTTACTGGACTTCTCAAGTCTGTGGAAATAGTCATTTATACTTTACAGTCTATGAAATAGATGGAAAATACTTCCATTTATTTGAATGATTTCCCCCCCACACACACTTAATGTAATATTTACTATCAGCCTTAATTGATCTCAGTTGGATTCTTAATTTCATCTACTAATTTAAAATATGTTAAACACTTGAGATATGAAGTAGCTGTGGAGGGGCGCAGGGATCCCTGACTGCAAAAAAATCTGTCACAAAAGGACACAAGGGCACGCCTCAATGCTTGTGGTACTTAGCTGGGTGTGTGCCGGGCGCGTTTTGTTTCTTTAAAATAAAAATATATTTTAGTCTTTAAAGTTACTTCTTAAAGAAAAACCCAAAATAAATAAAATGGGCATTTTTAGTATCAAAAATAATTGTCGAGATCTTAGTCTTGCCTGTTTGCGAACTGACCTCGTGTATTTGGTCTGAGGTGCAGCCTTTCCTCCCTCATCTTTCTGCCTTGACCTCCGACTGTTGCCTCTCTTTGTAGGTGTGTGGCTCACGGTGATCATTTCATTTTAATGGATAGGATTTGTGGGGCCCTTGTGCATTTTTCATGGGTGGAAGTGGGGTAGTGTGGCAGCCCATTGTTCTCTTTGTTAGCTAGAGCCATGCTGTGATTAGCATGATGACATCATACTCTCTGCTTCCCATTGGCCTGCTCCCAGAGCTCCAACCCACTTCCAGGCATACACAATCCCAATTTATACCAACTGCTCATGCTCGGCCTCAACTTTCTGTGGTTCCCTTTCTATTACTGGAGGCTGTGCTGAGAGCTTGTGAAGCAGCGAAAGGTGGGCGTGATCGCTGTACGGATGATACCTGGGAAACTGACTCCTGGGACAGAGTATAGCAGGATCTCACTGCTTCTTGGCCAATGCCACAGGAACTTAATCTCTGATCCATCCTCTCTTGGGGGATAGATTCAATTATCTAATAGGTCTTTTCTATCTCTTAACTGTTAGGATCCCAAACCAGAGTCCGGTGCCCTTTCAGTAACTCAGATTTACTGTCTGCTTGGGTGACTGAACTATAGAAAAGCCACAATTCCAAGTCTCATCAACCCTTATTAAGTTAAACGTGTGTCTCCTTAGGTTGCGTGCTCCTAGTCCTCCCGGAAATACTTGGTGCAGAGGGAAGGCTGGATGCTTGTCAAACTCTGGGAACTGGTGTGGTTTATGCAAATACGCTGCAAGGTCATTAATAATCAATGTGATTTAGGAGTGGCATGCTGTGAGGGAGAGAGCGTCCTGGAATAGCACATGCAAAGGCTGAAATGGGATAGAAACTTGGGTTCGTAACACTAACGGAATGTAGTTGCTTCCACTACCCCCACCCCACAGGGTAAATATTGAAATACCTTTTAATTTTTCTGTTTTTTTCCTCTTTCCGTGTTCCCTGTCTCCCTCATCTCCCGGCTCTTCCAGGCAATTGGAGCCTGATTCAGTTCTGCTCTGCGGCCCCTTTTCTGTCATAAAGAAGTAGTAGGGCTGGCAGATTCAGCTATGGAGGGATTCCTAGGGTGCCATCAGGTTGGTGCTGCCCTGGTTGTGTGCCACCCCATGGAGGGGCATGTCGGGACGTTTCCAGGGGAGAGGGGATGTAGCTATTCTCAACCACCAGAAAAGCCCTTCAGACAACCGGTGCAAATTAGGACTGTTTTGAGGCTGCTCCAACTTGCATCAGAGGTCAAACTGGATCTGACCCAGCCCCAGAATAGGGAAGGCACAAAGGTGACTTCACTTCCTCTTGGTCCTGCAGCAAGCTCAGGTTGAGTGCAGAAATGAAATCAAGCCCTTCCCATTCACAGGTTGTCTGCTTGAAATTCTTGGCTTTGTGCAGATCTGTCTTGTACCTTTCCCCAGACCTGGGATCTAACTTTCCACTGTGCCCTCAACCCTTTTTGGGAAGTACAAGTAGTGCTCTTGTGGTTTTGAAGCCCCCTTGCACAAGTATCTCTGAGCCTTTTTTAGCCCCAGCAGAGGGATGATGAGAGCTGTGGTTTTAAATGACTGGGGCTTCTGTGCATAACTGCAGTGTCCTAAGAATCTTTTATGGCTGCATGAAACTGATGTGAAATACAAGCTCCAGAATGAATTGGGTACCAAGATCCCTTGATCACTATGGACACATGAATATTAATCCTTACAATATGCTTCTATGTTAAAGTCAAGTCTACTTTAGTAGGATGGACCTTTCACCCCAGTGAGGTAGAATTCCCAATTAAGAGAAAGTAGCAGAGATCCGTTGCCAGTGTTCTTTAGTACAGGCCTTCTCAACCCTTTTCTTTCTGAGGCTCCCACAACATGCTAGAAAAACTCCACGGCCCACCTGTGCCACAACAACTGTTTTTCTGCATATAAAAGCCAGGGCCACTGTTGGGGGGTAGCAAGCAGGGTAATTGCCCGGGTCCCATGCCACAGGGGGCCCTGCGAAGCTAGGTTGCTCAGGCTTTGGCTTCAGCCCTGGGTGGGGGGCTCAGGGCCCTGGGTTTCAGCCCCAAACAGTGGGACTTTGGTTTTCTGCCCTGGGCCCCAGCAAGTCTAATGCTGGCCCTGCTTGGTGGCCCCCCCCAGGGAGCCTCAGACCCCTGGTTAAGAACCACTGCTTTAGTGCCTAGTCTGGGCTAAATTACTAGAGGTAACTGATATCTTAGCTGAGGGTGGAAAACCCTCCCTTTGCCTCAGTTTCCCTGTCTGTAAAATGGGGAATTATTTTGCCCATAGTCACACAGTGAGCCAGTGGCAGAACTAGAACTAGAATTGATGTCTCCTAACTCCCCAGTTTGGTGAGCTGACCACCGCAGAACATGGCCTTAGTGCAGTTTAGGCATCCCCATTTTACAGATGAGGAAACTAAGACCAAGAAGTTAACTGACTTTTCCTGGGCCTGAAAGATTGTTTCTGAGCCAGGATAAGAATTTAAGTGTTACTGTCTCCTAGATCTGTGCTTGGACTACTAAGCCCCACCTCTATGGCTATAATATATTCCTTCTGTGTTACGATTCCGTGTTGTAAAGGTTCTGCCACCTTGGCTCCTAAATCAGTTGTAATAAGGAAAATGAGCATGAGGTGTAGTGTGGGAAATGCTTTGTTCCAAGGATGTTTACAAGGATGAATGCACCATGGGCCCCTGCAGGCGGAGAGAGCAATGGAAGGGTCATGGGTGAAATCAGTTTGACCTAAGCAACCATTGGACATTTTATCCACATCACACACTCGCTGTGCAGTCCAGA